ATTCTTAACCCAGTGTTCCCTAGACTTGCACGTTTTCTTACCCCATCTTACCCACCCCATTCCACCTGATTTTCCAGGAACCATATTAAGTGATGAGCTATAGACCCCTGAAGCTTTTCACCCCCATCCACGACCCACCCCCACCCCTTCACACACAACCCCCATAGGACACCTGACTACTTACTTGATTTAAAAGATGTGCCAGTCAAGTCTACATTGTAAATGCTTAGATATTATGTCTTATTGATAATATCAATGCATAAAATAATGCAACAAGCTGTAGATGAACAATAATTTATTGAACTGGAACATCGATTGAACTGGACACATGGGCACTGGTCTTGATATATGTTCTCTCTTCCACTCCTCTCCTATCTCATCCTGTCCTCTTCTCTCCACACCAGGCAGTCAGACAAATGTAAACCCCCGCCACGTGTGACGGCGTTGTTGAAAAGAACCAGGACATGGAAACCAGGTTCCATGTCCTAAAGTTCTATTCTAATTTCTAAGTTCAAATTCTCACCCTAGTAACCTCTGCCCGTCCGACCACCTGCCCTCTTGACCCCATTTCATCACGTCTTCTACAATCTATCGCTCCTGACCTTCTTTCTTTCCTCACCTGTCTCATCAACAATGCTCTGTTATCTGGCTGTTTTCCCAATTCTCTGAAGGAGGCTCTGAAGAAAACAACTACACTTTAAAAACTGGGATTGGCGTTAATTAATATCTACTAAATAAATAATAGTAATAAACCTAATAAAAAAGACTAAGTAGAGTTTTGAATTACATTGAGTGGAATTTAATAAATGTTTATTTATTAATTACATGTTACATAAATTTGCTTGAGTAAAATCAGCTGTGAATCACTGAGTAGACTTTAATTATATTTTATCAGTAAAGCTTAATATACAGGAAAATTATGAATTTTACCCATTTAGAGTATGTTGTTTTCAATTGAGTGACACGTCCGTCCCACTCATTTTATAACCAATGTGTTGAAGCAGCTCTTTTGTAAAATTAACAAACATGCCAACTTTCTTTTGACAACATGTCGTCATGTTGTTTCATAGTTTCCGTGACAAGCTAACCTAGCTAGCTAGCTTTAGCTAAGAAGCAGCAGCACACAGAGAGACGCATTACAGTTAATGTTTGCAAAAGAAGAAACAAACATTCGTGCTTCCAAAGGTTAGTAAAGTAAGTTAATGAGGAATATGAGTTATATGAATATCCCTGCATGTCGTTAAAGTAACTTTAACCTGACAAGCTGTTAAAAGCAGCCGGGTTTTACCAGGTGGCTAATGGTCAGCGAAACTAACTGTAAATGTTAACGTTACGTTCGATATATTTAATATTAATTCAATTTATAACATGACAAGAAGTACAGATGTCATGCTTTACATTTTTTCATTTGTCATTGGTCCTTGTAGTATAAATGTCATAATATTGTTGGTATGATGTTCAGCTCATAACAACAGGAATCGGCTGGGTTGCAAAAGATTGATTAGATTGTCACATTTCTGTTTAGTGTATTATGATTAAACAGAAGTTTTAATGCATTTAAAAGGAAAAACACCAGAGGCAGGCCTCAAGGCTTGGGCTTTCTTGTTAAAGCCCTGCCCCATTTGCCTTGGTGCAACCCTATGTGGCGGTATTTGGAAATACTACTATCCAAAGAAGCATTTCACCCTATTTTACCCCTAGTCAAATCTGTCTGGAGCTGCAAAAGCTATTTGATATCACAAATCATTGTTGTATATATAGTTACTATGTATTATATACACAAAAATACCATTGAAAACGTTCAACAATTCAGAGCAATTTCTCTATTTTAAAATCAGATTCAAAAGGAAGTGGTCCATGGTCTTTTCTCTGGGGGGACTTTCTTTGCAATCCATGGTCTTTTCTCTTCGGTTATAGACTGTGTCTTTTGGAATGTCTTTCCATCTAAATTTCTATGCGAATCTTGTCAGATTCTTTTCATTCAGCTTCCATTTCTGTTTTCATTTTTGTTCATGTTACTTTCGTTCCACCTTCTTGAGCGAGCTCTGACTGTAGAGAGAACAGTCATTGGTCGACTGATGTCAATGTTGCCAGATACATGATAATTATCCTTCAAATACGACCATTTTGAGCCTTTGGTACGATACATGCTCAGTTTTGCTAGAAATGGGGAACATTTCCAATCTGGCAACACTGAGCACCTGGCCGCCTCCACTAGTTGCATTTTGTGTACTGCACGTGACATCTGCAGCCACGCCGGTTGTATTTGGAGGATAATTATCGTGTATCTGGCAACATTGAGATCGGTCGACCAATGACTGTTCTCTCTACAGTCAGAGCTCGCGCAAGAAGGTGGAACGCAAGGGAGACACCATTTACAACACTTAAGGGCGGAATAACTAGTCTTATAATCCGCTGCGCCCTATGAAAAATGTTCTAAAATAGGTCATTCATTGAAGGTGCACCTTTTAATCCGGTGCGCCGTATAGTGCGGAAAATACGGTAAAAGAATATGTATTATTTGAATATACTCAAATTCTATTGAAACTGTATCAGTTTGATACAAGGAAATAATATACGTCATGAACAAACATTTTGAAGGGAAGGAAATATACTCAGACACAAAAAACATGAACGTCATGTGAATGAACCAAATACATTGACGTCCACAGTTTGAGATGATTCCAGCTGCGAGTCACGCCGCTTTTACCGCACGAGTCAAGTCTGCTGGAGGACTTATAAGGCAGCAATATAACGCTTGTAATCATAACGTGCAGACTCGAACAAAATCAGTTGACGCAGCATAAAGAGCGACTAGCTCCACTTCAAACTAAGGACGTTCACCCCGGAAACCTCTGTTCATGTCCCGTGTGACACCCCAAAGTCAATGCAGGGCACCAGACTGCGGCCAAATGGTCGCATTTTGTGCCTAAAATTTGACACAGTGCGAGTACATTTTTCATCTACTCGCACATCTGTGACCAGTAAATTACCTGTTTTTTATGTTATTAAAATTTTTTGTTGCTGACAAACTTGTTCTACACTTCAGCCCACTATAGTAAGCGGTAATGCCTGAACGATGTAATTACTTTTTTACGCAAAAGATTGTAAGTTGATTGAAAGTTGAAAGTGAAAATGCTTGCTGTGAAACCGAATGATGCGAATGATATCGAAGTTATCTAAAATAAAAACAAAACAATATATTCCGCTGTTAATGGAAATTTGTCCAAGGATAAAGTTCCTTTGCTCAGCGTTTTAAATGAAAATATAATGGTGTTTTTACGTTAATTACTTTGTATTGTCTTTATCTGTAGGTCCAGCATGCCAGCAAACAGATCACTGCAGAGATGCAGTACAAGGGATCATGGACTGTGTGGTAAGGATCCCGAAGGAACAGGGCTTTATTTCCTTTTGGAGAGGCAACTTAGCCAAAATGATTTGTTACTTCCCCACCCAAGCCCTCAACTTTGCCTTCAAAGACAAGTACAAGAAGATCTTCCTCGCCGGCGTGCATCCGTACATCAAAAAGACGTGTTTTCCAATAACAATATTGAATTCTCACTGACTTGATAAGAGATGAGGCCTCACCAATCACTTGACTCTGATTCTATAGAAGGTCTCTCCCAGATGTTATCAAATTTAATTAATTTAATTGTTAAAGTCAAATAGACCAATTGTTCACAGGACTGTGTGTGTGTCACCCTGTCACACACACACACACACAAATCGCCCAAAAGGCCGTATGGCTGCTTGGAGGTTTGCTTAATAGGATACCAGGCATGAAAACGGGTGACGGGTGAAAAAGGTGAGAAGGATATTAACCCTCTCCGGGTTTTCAACTGATTTGTCCCAGGGATCATTTTTTGCGTACCGACGAGGGGGGGATGGGAATTGACAACAACTAATAGGGGACAAGTCATTAAATACCCGTCATGCATTATATTGCATTGCATATAATGTGTGCTGGCCAACTAGTCTAAAATTAATTTTAGACAAATGTTTACGTACTTTGAAGTCAAAATGCGTATCAGGTTGGCAGGTCTGCGTATTGATAGAACGGTGGGTCTGTCCCCTCACCTCAAAATCTACCTCCTCAAGAACGGTCGCGTTAGCTACCGGAGCTTTAGCTAGCTGGCCAACGCCGCGTTCTCTCCTGCCGCGTTAAATGACTCGACTCATCCAGCTGTAGCTAACGTTAGCTAAGTCTATGTCAACAAAGCTCCCGGGTAACTTAACTTATACCAGAAAATATTAAAATGATTGAAACCATCACTCACCCTGTTCGCAATTCACTGAATCTCGCGCTCCCTTCTGACACGCGCACCTGTTCGCAGTCACTGAATATGAATACACCCCCCCAAAAAAACCTCATCGAATCTACACGATTCACGTAGGTCCCCTACTTTGGTTTCAAAACGGCGAATTTCGCCAAAAGGTGAGAGATTTTCATGCCTGACTACTCTGAAGCCACAGTTGAGCAATTCAAATATTAATATTATGTTAATATTTCTGAGCTATGATCAAGCGCTTGCTATGGGGAAAAAGTTCACCTTCTTAATGATTGATAAGCATGACAATAGAAATCGCTGAATTCAACAATTATTGGTGCAGAAAAGATGCTTCATGTTCTCATCTCCAGGGTGGACACGTCTTGGGTAAGGGCATTTTCCTGAAGTTATTAGTGGAAACCGCTCTGGAGCTTTGTTGGGGGGAACTGGCTGGCCTGGGACCTGCTGGTGTAAACGACAGAGGGACATGTTCATATTTTAGAGGAACTGTGTTATCAAATCACAAACCTATTGTACCTTTTGCAGCTTGGGGTTGACCCCTGCCAACCCCAACAAGCCATAATACATAGGTACAGTACAGGTAAACACACACAAACTATCAGTTCATCGGAGATTTCTTAAAAGAGCTGCCTTTAAATGTCTGCTATTCTTCTTGAATCTCTGGAGCATTTTGAACACAGGAAAAGCTGGACCCAGAACCGAGCTACCCACCTAAAGGGGGTCTTGCTGGTGGACCTGTCTGATTTTGTGGTGGACATATAGACGCGGTACAAAGGCACTTCCACGATTGCAGCGCGCTGCTGGTAGCCCATCAGTTGTTCCGGGCGCTTTAGGCTGGTGTTGGCTTGACGGACTGCAGCCTCTTCAAGAAAGCCGGAATGAAACACAACATTATTTTACCTAGTAGGTATAAATGCTAATTGTGTTGGCAAAAACAAATCTGGTTCTAGTGGAATTTTCGGATAACTCTCGGGTTCAACTTGAAAAGCTACGTCTAATTATTCAAGCTGTATTAGAAATATTTACAAACTTTCAGCTGTTTTCAATAAACAACTAAACGTACCTCGAAAACTCAAAAACTCACCAAGTTTTCCCCCATGATGCGTCGCTGTTCCCGTTGCCTGTTGAGTGCCCTGTGACAGAGGCGACTACGAGGCAACTTGCCGGCTACGGGAGTTTTCTTCCTCTCTTTACTTCCTGCTCTGGGCCTCGCAGACTGGCGTGCAATCGCACGGAGAGGACGCTGGTTCAGTGTTGGGAACAGTAGTATAAAACAAAGATCATAGAAAACTGACAGATAAGAAAGGCAGTTTTCACTCACACTCATCCACATCCTGATCCCAGTCCTTATCCGGGCGCATGTTGCTCAGGCCGCTGGAGGGCCCACGTGCCTCCGTGTGGTTTAAGTCCAGTGACTGCAGAGGACTGACGTCAGGAGGAGAGAGGGGGCTCACATCTGTCACCGTGTCCTCCGACTCCTATGTACGGCTCGTAGGCCCATCCCGAGATCCCGCGGAGACCCCTGGGGTCCTTCTCCCTCCAGGGGACGTGGAAGGCTTTCTGGGTCTGGGAAGGGCGGGAGAATCTACACGGCTTCTCTCATTTCTGCTCCAGGGCACCAGACTGCGACCAAATGGTCGCATTTTGATTGACGGGGGGGATGACCACGGATGATAGGCTAATGTGTGAAAAGAGGCGAGTCTTGGGGGTTATCGCGGGTCTCCTGTAAACAATGGACAATGGCGAAGCGGACTATTAGTTCGTACTTTCTTCCTAAACTTAATGATATAGAGAAGATAAATTTGCGATGAAACACAACGCCAGTCAGAAACATAAACACAGGCACCGTATCCCTCACCAAGGGGTGATTTTTTGTAGGTGTTTTTTTAAGTGTTAATGCACAAGTTATGTCTACAACTTGTTCTGTTGTTGTCAGTAGAGCATAAATATTAATTTTGTATTTTTATGCTGTATAACTGGTGTATGTTATTAAAACTATTTAATGACATTAGCACAGGTTTATACAATTGTATATTGTCAAATTATTTATCAGTAATACAGTAAAAATGATGGGACAACTTTGCAAGTCGATTTATAGTGCGCGCCCCTAAATTTTCTGCTTGCGCCCCTAAAATTTTAAGTTAGGGGCTACTGTGCTCCATAACTTACATACTTGACTAACGACGTGTACATACCAAAGTTTTAAGCTCTGAGAGGGCAAACATGCCTCAGGGGTGGAAAATGAGATCTTGAGTAGAACGCTATTTATTCATGGCGTCAGGTGTAGATTGCCCCTCTTATTTAGGGTGATGTGCTTGAAAGAACGTTGTTGAAACCTGTTCCTCCCATTCCTTCCCAGTGAGTATGGTGTTTTCAACAGAGGTTACTTAATAATGGTAATATTTCATGGATTTCATTAACAACCACCACAATACGTTCATATATTTCTTTATTGAGCATCACACAGCTTTCAGAAACAACATATAACGCCTTAATTAAGTGTAACAAAGGTCGATAACGTTAATTTGTTAATTTGTCATGAATGGGGAAATTAGCTATAAATATTCATGTTTTTTCATACCAGGCTGATTACTAAGTGGTGTTCTTAGTTTCCATCATTTAGTTGATTGATTCTAGCAAAATAAAGCAAATAAAATGACAAGCTAAAAAGCAATGCGTTTAAATAAAATAACAAAGGAATTCTGAATATCAGGCTGGTCTTGAATAATTAAAAAACGCATCTCCTATCTGTCTTTGTTAGATTTTCAGCATTATACACATTTAAACCAGTCTATCATAACATGGACAATCAATGAGGACATTTCTTACCACATACAGTATACATATATATAAAGCATAACATTTAATACTCTTCACCTTTTGAAAAGTCAACTTTAAAGCCTTTGATCCCTTTAGAAGCAATCCGCAGGGCTGCTGTTGGGCCGCTCAATCGTTTTTTGATGAGGCCATTTATTTGATCGGTAAACACATAGATTGACCATCTGTGTATTTATTTTCTCCTTGCTGTTCTCAGCGAGGCTGTGATCACACACAGCGATCACACTGCTCCGTGAGAGAGATTTGGATAATGGCTCAATAGTCTCTGACAAACAGCCAGGCTCGGTAAGCAGTGCGAGTGTCTCTGAGACACATTCTGTTCTGTGTTTCACTGCTGCCTCTTGGATTCTACTCACTGGGATCTCGGTGTGGTAATTGAAATGGGCCGCGCGATCATTTGGCCTAATTGTAAAAGTCATTTTTCCAGGAAAGGTCCACTCAGCTTTCAGCAGAAGACGTTGCGGTAGGTTGCCAAAGGAAGCCAGTCAATAAGTTCAAGAGTTCAGCTCCACCGGATTAACTTAAGCTGTGCAAAGTTTGGATGTTGCCGAAAGGGCTTCTTTAAAAAAATTGGGGTTGTGTATAGCCGTGCTCCAAAGTTCTGAGAGGGGAAATAACAATGGAGTACTGTGGTTTTGAAGAGAGCAATATAGCTTTAGTTCACAGACAGAAAGGCAGATGACGTCATCATGCATAATAACTTTCCGTGTCTTAATGCACCACTGCTACAAGGGACCTGACATCCCCATAACGGCGTTTTCTTAAAGTCGTTTTTTTCATTTATAGCAGCCGTCATTACTGGCTGCCCCTCTTTAGCATACAAATGCATTATTTCAGCTGGAAAAACTCATAATTCATAAGCTCATTACAGAGGCTGTGAATTAAAGAGGCCGCCCGCGTCCTTTTGTGCAATTCCCCGATCAGGAGAGGTCTGTTTTTTTGAAAGTCAAGAACAGTTTCAAAAGCTTTTCACTCTTCCAACTTCTCGAGATTCTCAAAGTGACTTTGAAAGCCGTCGCCGTGTCCTCGTGCCACTCGTCCCTCTTAAGAGCATCGTCTTTGGCCATCAGTGAAGCCACTTGATCATCTCCTCGTGCTGCCGCCGTCGGGTTAGAGGAGAGGAGGCTGAATGCGGTCTGCTCGGCAGTAGGGGGCAGGAGCGATCCACTTGTCTCCCTCTTGTGCTGCCTTTAAGCCTGCGCCCGGTTCCTCTGCAGACCTCAGGTGCATGCAGGGAAGGCGTGCTGCTCCCAAGGTCAGCCGTCTTGAGGAACCGGCACTGGCCGCCGCTCCTCTCTCCTTTCCTCCGATGACTGCCGGACTAATTGGCTGTGGGTTTCGCGGCTCCATCGCGGAAAATGAAAGTGGAGCGAGATGACAGCCCCTCTGGACTATAAGAGATGCAGCTCTTTTTTAAAAGGTCCCATATGGCAATTGCCAGAGCCGGGGCTGTTTGAGGGGAACTCCACATCCTATTTCATAAGCCTTGTCTGCTGTCGTTGATGAGAATGTAATGCGGTGGCAAAGTGCATCTTGCACACTCTCTCCAGCTGTCGGATCACCGCCACGGCAAATAGGCTTATTCATGGATATTGAGTTTACTCCTTCACTCCCTTTTGTGTGCTCTGATTGATGGCGCGTAATCTATTAAGAGGATTTGGGGTGGTTTGGAAATAGGGGGCAAGAAAAACTGCCTTTCTCAATGTGGAGACATTTGGGTCCAAGACTACTGGGACACGGAGGGGAGAACTCCTCGATAAGCATGGCACAGAGGCTCTTGGAGGAGACATTCTGAGCCAACTTCACGCCATGAAAGGAACAGATTCAGTTCCTCCCCAACCCTCGAGTCGCACCAATAAGGATTAATGTAACAATCTCATTAAATCATGGTTTCATGTTGAATCTCATGCCAGCTTAGGTCAAAGGTGCAAAATTGTATTTTCAAAGTATTAATAAAGTAGCAAACTACTGTTGTCTACGAATAGATATAGAAGACGAAATGTGTCCTCGACCAGAGAAGAAGTCACTCTTCCCCTGTGTGTGATTTCCGTTCTTGCTTTACAGAGCACACTTTTAGTGCATGATCATGCATGTGAGTGTGCTCACGGCCCCCCGATCCGCTGTGCACTGCTTTCATGCCGCAGTGAGAGCTCGTACAGCTCGTATCTTTGCAGAGAGGTAGCATCGGCCCTCCGGTTCATTTCATTTCATGTTTACATTTTTGTTATTTTATATTACTTGCCGCGTTGCTCCATTATTTCAGCCCGCAGTTCTTCTGCTGAGCCATCTTGAGCAATGTTATGGTAACATAGCAAATTACCTTTTTTATGTATTCGTTGTAATTTGGCTGTGGAAACATCTCTATATTGATCCGATTGTATTTACAAAGAAATGTGCCGGTGTGCCGCCCAATTTGACTACTAGAGTTTCCTATTAGCTTAACGTAAGAACGCACTTCTGCACAGAACAGAAGGACTATGTATCATTGAAATGACTCAATGGGTCAAGTGTGCAAGAAACAAGGAAAGGTTGAACTAGTGAACACACACTTTATATACACACATAATAGTGAAGACGATTAAAAAATGGCCGTGGAAGTAAGTTCTGAATAATTACTACTTTGTATTTATTGTAGTCGGTGGATCTCCTCTTAAGGAACTCAAGCAGCTTTGGCTACATGTAGAACGAGTTAGAGCAGCAGAAAATCTTTACATCACAACACATAAAAACAGCAATGACTGATGAGACGACGGGAGGATTCATCTTCGCTCCGTTTTGAGTGAAAGGGTTCTGAACCGGCTTCTGAGAGTTAGTTGGCCGTTTGATGAGAAAGCACGGTAACGATTTGGCGGTGGAATCAACAGCTCGGGAGCGGACAGCTGTGACAGCTGTGAGAGAGAGCGTGTGTTCCAGTGTCAGGCAGACGTGGAGGGAAGTCCATCAAAGTGGAGCTGGACTATAGTTGTTATTCACGCAGTCAATGCAACGCTCACAGAGACCTCGAGGACCTCTCCATCTTTCTAAGAGACGATGGCTAACATCGGGGTTTGAAAGTAGTGACACTAGGTGGCTGTTTTCCTCCCTGCATTGCTCGCCCTGACATTTATGGAGCGGTTACTTCACATCTCCGAATCAGAAGTTACAGACATATCAGGCCAGCTGGAATCGTGTTCGCTCAAAACGATTCTATAACGGCCTCTAATATCCTTTTGTTAATGATACTTTCACTCAAAGAGATAAACAAATTGACTGGATGCAGTTTGTTTAGTTTTTTGGGTAACTTTGGGCCCGTTTCCCCTCCAGTCGCGCTAGTGCTCCTCATTCATTAGAGGATCGCAGCGACCTTCATCACCACTACGTCAGCAAACCAGCTGCCACAGAGAAACACTCGGAGTTTGTTTTATAGCCACCTGACAAATGGAAGTCCTGCATTTTCAGGACTTTGATCCAGGAAACCGCCGTTTGTGTCCCACGTGAAACCTGAAGTGATTCTTGAATTATCAAACGTATCAACAAATGTACTAAAAGCCAAAGTATAATGCGTTTCTAAACTTCATGTTTTGTTTCAATTTACATTAATCGGGTGTTTAAAACTGCGCCCGTCATCCGGCAGACAAAGCGTTCCCCTCAATATATTTAATTTGGAATGCACTTTAGTTTCATCGGGGCATAATTTAGTAGGAGACAGGGTTAAATTAGAGGAGCTGCAGAGTCTGTGATAACTCTCCGTGGGTTTATCTCACGGGGCAAACTCTTTTACATTACACTGTGTGATCAGACCCCCGAGACACACAGACTCTTCAGACCCCCTGAAAGCCTCAATCGCATAATTTAGGGGGATCTCTTGAATGAAAGCAATAGAAAGACAATTATTCGTAGCCCGCCAGTTGTTGCGGCAGTGTCTTTTAAAAGCTTACCATACTATACCCAGGAGTTTTTCATGGTTTAAATGCAAAACATTTATTCTCAAAAATGTAAAATGAGTGCAAGAGGCGTTGTTTTTCCTTAAATGAGTGAAGAGCGGGACTCCCCCACCACCCTCCCCCCCGGCCGGCATTTCACTCGTTAATTACACATAATCATTTGTTCAAAACAAAATATAATCATTAGTACAGCTGTATGTTGACTTCCAACAACCTGTACAGCTGCCTTGATCTCATTCCCACTTGTTGCCATTTTTGTGACTATTTTTCTGCAGCTGTTTTTCCGGCTCAGCCAGATGACGTCCCTATTAGCACCTTTTGTTGAGCTTGGTCATTTCCCAACAGGGAAAACATCCATTAGTGAGCACAACACCGGACCCATTTAAACAGCCCCAAAAACCCCCAACGTGTCTGGGAATTCAGAGGTCTGGAACAGCGTTTGAAAGAAAGCCATTGCTATATGCATTTATTGTTGTAATCATACAAATATTTCATTCATAATACCCTGTAATACAGTATCATCATCATATGTAGGCATCCGTTCCAATGAGAATCATCATTTTGAAGGTTTTACTGAATCAGTAAACAATGAAGCTCACTTATTTCTACTTGTTTTATTAGAGTGACAAAAATCTGTGTCACTCCTCTTCGTTTACAGTGACTTTGCGAAAGTTTTCAAGTTTTAATTTAACTGCAGTAACATCCAATCAGGTTAAATGGAACATTTTGCTTCTGAATCAAGGTTTTCAACCCGCAAAGCTATTTTGGGTATTGGGAATTTTGTTTCAAAGAGAATAATATCAGTCAATTAACCTTTATAAATAGGGTATTATTGTCTATCTGCGGACTAAACCTACATAAGTAACCTCTTAGACTCTTTGACCTGTTTGACACTTAATAACTTTGCCCATGATAGCTGATTAAAAATATTGCTGAATGTCAAAGTCACCTTCGTAGCAACAGGCAGGTAGGATCCTAGAATGCGCCGACCAAGGTTGGAGTTTCTGTTTATGTAAATAAGGTAATTTATTAAAAATGTGGAAGCATCGCGAAGCATCTGCAAAAACACACAAAAATAGCTGCCGGCAAATGTTGTCCATCTTTTTTTTCATCTATTATTTGCTTTTACCTTGACCCCTGTGGGGAGGGCACGCGCGGCACAATCTGTCTGATAACTACCATCTGTCGTCAAGTGCATCTGTGGACTTTTATTCAACCCCACGAAGCTCAGGAGGTGCTTGCGCCAAACTGTGCAACACCTCCGTTTGGCGCGAGCACCTCACTCTGTGGGATGGAAATATTGATTAAAAAGAGAAAACACTACAATATGCATTATCTTTGTGTTTACTCAGTCATGAATACATTTTGCATCTCAAATAGATCCCTTATCTTTATAGTTTCGATATAGAGAATCGTCTACGGTGCTCCTGCAGAAGTTTAGGAGGAGCTGAGAGGGGAGTTTGGCTTTCTGAAGTTTCCTCAAGAAGAAGAGCCTCTGCTGGGCTTTCTTCACCGGGTGGAGGGTGTTAAGGGCCCACGTCGGATCCTTTGTGATGGGGATACCCAAGAAATTGAAGTTGTTTTCACTCCTCTTCCCCGTTTATGTGGAGAGAGAGAGAGAGAGAGAGAGAGAGAGAGAGAGAGAGAGAGAGAGAGAGAGAGAGGGAGAGAGACGTGTCCTTCCTGGTTCACCCTGAAATCTACGAGGATCTCTTTGGTTTTCATCGCGATAAGGACGGACAAGGTCAGCACATTGTCAGAGAATGTATGAAACAGACAAAAAGTGTTTTGAGTGAGTGTGAGTCCCTCACAAGAGGTCCTTGAGCATTCAGCCATAACCGGGCACAACTGTGTCCAACGGTATGTAGAGCATTGTGCTGCAGCACACAGATTGGCCTTGGACGGACAAAGAGGGGCCCACGCACTCACTCAGGGACAAACGCACACATGTTTAAAAGGTTAAGGACGACTGGGACTTTTACTGTCAAAAACATGGTGACGAAATACATTTCAGTCAGGATCAGTTTTTGTTGTCATATTTTCTAACATTTATTACAAATAAAGACTTCCATTTTGCTTGGCTCTAAAATGATGCCTTAATAGTTACTCCAGCATTTTGTAAGAACTGCAACTTAATGTAAAACATTACGTATTACATGTAAATACAGCAGATGATTACAAAATTTGGGATTACAATGGATTACATTTAGTTAAATTACTACATAATGCCCTGTTATATTGTGCCGTTACTGTTCTACTTTCTGTCCTCCTTGAACGCCTATATTAGCATTAGCTAATCCCCCTCCTTTTAACCGCCGTTAGCTGAGGTTACACAAGTAAACTGTCAACATGTACTGGTAATAATGCCAAGTAGATTCCTCTACGTGTCCAATTTAACAATCTCCCTCAGTGCAATCAAGGCATTATGACTACAGGAAGTCCATCCGTGTCATTCAAGCAGCATTAGTGTGAAACACGTCATGCCGAAGTGATTTACTTTAGAATTATATCCATCTCTACCATCACTGAATTATGACCTTTTCCTAAACCCAACTGAAAAAGTTCTGACAAAAGACCATATAAATGTATTGAGTAAGAAGCTTCGGAGGAAAACGGAAGGAAATAACGTAAGTAACATTTCGTCGGCTATAACATGAATCGTTACGTGAGGAAACATTGACCTTTGAATGTTGGTTGTAACCAGTAAGGGGTCATTCCTGCATAGACTGCCTTTCACCATGACACACTAAACGCATACATAAAAAGGACACGCATAACAATAGGTATCGCATTTATTTATTCAACTCCTTGATTCGTTTGATTTGTTTTTGTTTCACTTCATCTCAGCTCCTCGGCATCACGCAGGTCTGTAGGTGAATGTAATCTGCCAGAAAACATCCTCATTTCGAATCGGAGGAGCGAGCTGCTTTACAGGGCCGCCTGGAGCTTCTGGCGTGTTTCATGACTTTCCCAGAAAGCTGTGAATGCTTTCACGCCAGAGAGTAACAGGCTGCGAGGGGCTCTGCTGAGGGCTCTGCGCCTCATGAATATTTCATCGTTTATACCTTTCCTCTTTACTGGGCTCTGTCAGCCCGCTGGTTACCTTCCCCTTGCCATATGCAAAGTGCAGGTACACATAAAGCAGGTGTTTGACAATTTGCTTGTATAGGGACATCATGAGGGCAATCCCGCCCGCCTCGGCAAGAGCGCAACACATGAATAGCCGCGGTGGCGGTGCGCCGCAGAGAAGGCAATTCCGGCAAGTTGTCATGCTGTTTGCAAAGGGGAATGTGAGGGAGTGGGCCAGTTAGTCACAAAACAAGAACAGATGCTGTTCAGAAAAGAATAAGGGTTCATTTGTGTTGAAGTGTCCTCCTTCAACTCGCTCAGCAGGTGTTTTTGAAGGTGGAAGCAGAGAACCGCCACGCACTGAGAATCATGTTTCACCAAAGTCAACTTATTTAGGGGAAAAAAACAACACCCTTTAACTGAGCTTCTCATCAAATCTCAGGTTACAGTTGTGTGTGTATTTTCTTCCGAACGCGGCGGCTTGCAGGTGAATTAGAATTAAATGTAATTGGTGAACATTGGGAATCAGGAATCGGGAACATTTATTGTCAAAATATGTTACGAGGAATACGATGAATTTGACATGGCGGTAGGTGCATCAGACAGTAAGACAATGGACAACAAGACACAAAAACATGCATACAAAAGGTGCAAAAAAAAGTTCAATTTACAAATTTACAATTTAAATACGGAATAAAATATAAGGCTATGGGCTAGGGGGATATTGAACAGACAATTTAAAAATAAAAGAGGTCAGTCCAATGAGGGTGGTGTCATCCGCAGACTGGAGGTGCAGCTGTTGGTGTACAGGGAGAAGAGCAGAGGGGAAAGAACGCAGCCTTGGGGGGAACCGGTGCTGATGGACCGAGAGGCTGAGACACGTTTCCCCAGCTTCACGTGCTGCTTCCTATTGGACAGGAAGTCTGTGATCCACTTGCAGGTGGAGTCGGGCACGTGCAAGTACAGTACAGTCATTTAGCATCTCTCACCGCCTTGCTAAATCTGTATTTTGACTCTTTTGACTTTGTCCCCTCTCCTAAGGGCCTGATCCTTCTGCAGTCGTAGCTTTCTGAGTCACGCTGTAAACCAGCGTTTGTCGTTGTTCACCCTGGTGCATGATGGTACGCAGGTGTCCTCACAAAAGCCGATGTAAGAAGTCACAGCCTCTGTGAACTCATCCAGACTGTTGGTAGCAGTCCTGAAAGCATCGCGGCCCGAAGATCCTCTAGTGCTTCACTGGTCCACTTCTTGGATTCCCCCACCACACATTGCAGAGCTTTAGTTCTGCCCGTATGCAGGAATCAGATGGACCATGACGTGGTCAGAGTGTCCCAGCGCAGCACGAGGGACGGCGTGATAATTCCTTGCTTGCTGTGGTGTAACAGTGATCCAGCGTGTTCTCCTCTCTGGTGGGGCATTTAATGAACTGTTTGTACTTCATGGCTGAGATTTCCTTTGCTAAGGTCCCCGAGGACAATAGCTAAGGAGTCCGGGTCGGTCCGCTCCGTATCTGGGCGGCTATTTGGTCCGCTGTGCCTCCTGCACGTTGCCCAGCAGCGGCATGGAAACACCGACTAGGATGAATGAAGCAAACTCACCGGGGGAGTAAAAGGGTTTACAGTTGATGATGAAAGATTCCAGATCTTATGTCATCACCCTAAAAGCCCCTTTTTCAGACATGTATGGGTAACATGTGCTACATGAATTCCTCCTATTTCAAAACCATTCCTAATGTCTTCTGCACATAGTTTCAACGTACTGTAAATTATCATTAAGATTTGAATTTGAGTGTAGGATTCGGTAGCAAAATGTAGTAAACCAGCTGAAAATGGGGAGGACGTGATTTACCTATCTGATCTGGATGCCTATGCATTAACCTAGGCCTCCACTAACAAGACTCAATATCTGTCATCTCATAAACTATTCAATTCCATATGCTGACATGAATTCAGTTTTTCTGTAGTGATCCCAGTCAAGTGCAAAAGAAGAGGGGGATTTAGGGTCATATTCATAACATGCTGTAGTGTTCACCAGCTGCACGGTGACATTAAAGTTACTTTCAAGCAGCACACTCACACTCTCCATCCTCCCCCTCCTCCCTGAAAGCAGCGGGTGAGCAGATGCCTCCCCACCGTCCGAGCCATATATCCGTTTGCATGCCCCCCCCTCATCAATAATTAGCCTGTGATGGTGCAGAAGGCCTTGATCATGAGAGAGCGCGCGAGAGCAACAGATTGTGATTGATGGGCGGCGCGTCTGCTGAGACGCGGGTGGAGGAGTCGGTAATGGCACAGACAGCTCGTCAGCAGATGGTCGGTGATATAGAGCCGAGGCCTCGCTGCAGATAGGTTAATTAGCCCGATAAGTAAAAAATGTGTTGTATTTGGCACCGTGTCGAAAACTGGCTGATATTTCCTTCGTATGGTCGCCACTTATCTTTTCCTACACGCGATCGTTCCTCTGCTCTGAGGTGAGAGCGCGACTGTGAGTGACGTCTCCTCCTCCTCCTCCTCCCCCCCACCTCCGTCATTTCACGAGCGCGGCGTCATCCGACACACTGAAGAGAGTCAGCCAAAGACGTGACGCATCGCCTCCTCTCCCTCACGAGACGTGGCGATGGGCTATTCACATCGGCCCGTTTTGATTTGAAAGAGGCGGAATGGGGATGTTTTGGCCTCAGTGAGCACAACGCTCCATTTCATTTTTTCATGTGAAAGAGTCTCTGCACATCAACATCACACCAGCAACTTTACTACAGATTCAATGTATGAATCAGCAGTCAGATATTCCACCTGTTTCGGTTTAACACCACAAAACAAAATTAAAAACCCACTGTAGTCAACAAAGAGAAACAATAATTGAATGTTTAAAATGTTTCAGGAATTACACAAATTAGGGTTTTCCACAAAATACACAGAGAATGCTGTGAAAATACATCTTTAGAAAGACTCCCCACCCAAAAGTGGAGGAAGTGCAATCAGGCCGTGAAGCGGCCATGTCTGTGTTTTGTACCAAGATGTACTCACATTGACAAACGGTAAATGGACTGTATGTGTTTAGCAGCTTGAGTCGTCCGACCACTCAAAGTGCTTTTACATTACGAGCTTTTCACTCTTCACTGCTTTGTTCTTCATTTTCTGTCTGATAGAGGTGAAGTTGTGATGCATTTGTGGATGGATGTAGCTTTGTTACCTAGCTAGCAAGTCAATGTAACCGCCATGTAATATATATATATATATATATATACTTTTCTTCCTGAAATAATTTTAGCCACGAGCTGTCAGCACCTCTCAGAACGGCTGGACGGTTTGAATTATGCAAGAAGACCGAAATGTGCGTTATCTCAGAGTTGATGAATACTGTAGAGTTTTTGTGTCACATGTTTCAACCATGATTAGGGCCAACGGGGAGTCAAACAGTTAGTTTGACCCCCCCTTCCCGCCGGCAGCACGTCAAATCCTGCCGTAGCCTCAGACAGCCCTCGCTGTCTTCCTGCTGCCGGGGGGGGAAACAACAGAAAGAAACAGCAGACTGTCTCTGCTCTTTTAAAGAAATTTGTCAAAAGGTGAACGAGCAACATTCAAACAAGAATTGACTAACTTTGTGCTGAATAGTGAGCAGCTACTGTGGCCAGCCAGCAGAAGGCACTTCATTAA